TGAACTAAATTCGACAGTAAGAAGGATTTCGACAATAAATCCCCACTATGGCATTCACCTTGCACCGAATCCGGAAGGGCAATGTCCATATCACTGTTTTCCCCACTATCACATATTGCCTGAATCCCCTACCGGTTTAAATCAAAGACGATTTCTTGTTGCGCTTCACCAGCGCGTCGGCAGTGTTAAATTTGGGTTTTCTTGAGGTATGTCCAATTGGTATTTCGAAATGGTTGTTTCGATGTTCGATATATATCCCAAACGAACCTCCAAAATGCTACAATAACGAAACTGCGGATAAATGAGGGAGATGTTTCCTTAGTTTCTTAAAAAGAAGTTCTTAAAAAGAAGTTCTTAAAAAGACGTTCTTAAAAAGAAAAAGAAAAGTCTAGGCTTGAAGATTTGTATATATCTTGCAACTTCACGTCCGCTATAGATAGTTTGATGTCATTCTGGGTTCAGTTCCTACCAAATAATGAAATGTATTAGAAGTGGTATTCACATCGTACCCTCAAGCCTCGAAATCTCTCTGGCCAAAGTACAAGGTATGAAGAGAAACGTAGGAATATGCCATCCACCTAATACCCAGAGCTCTCCATTCTCCGACCTCAAATCAACACCAGAAAACAGTCGAATCACCAACACTATCACGTCTCACTACCTTCCATCGAAGTCCAGCAGTGAGATAATATCCTTTAAAGTAGACATCACCTCTTACCCCATAAGTACACTACATCTCAATGATACAACTCCGGATCCAGTGGACTGAGTGATATAAATAGACTACTATCCGCTCATCTGGTAATACCATGCTCAAACAAGTTGAAAGTACATTGGTGGCTGCGTCGGCTGGACAACATGAAGTACTGTAACCATGATCAAGCAACCTAATGATCAACTCTCAGGATCACAGCCTTACCAGACACACCTTCCCCTCTTACCGCCAACCCGTGAAAAAGTCCGAATCGTGAGTATAAACTCTTTTCGACAGTAACCGCAGAATCGACAACAAACCACACATAAACTCATGCTTTAGCATATACAATACATAGACACTCGATCCACATACAACACACACACAAAAGAAAGAGCCGAGAGGTATATTAAAGAGGAATATCTTCCGGTACTACTACTTTAGTTTAAAGTGGAAATTGAAATCCAGATTCCTTCCTTTCGTCCTAGGAATGTTCCCCAGATTATGTTGACTTATTGAGAACATTGAGTATTACTGTATTAATACTGTCTATTGTATGGAAAAATCCAGACTGAGACTGGAGGAGGTCTAAGTACGGTACCTGATAGTGCTACCAGAAAAGGTTTCTGAATACACAGTTTCACCGTGTTGATAAGGATAGGATTGCCTTGTTGCAGTCCTATGGTTCAGAAACTGTAGTGTTTCTTTCCTACTAGTAAACTTGATACAAACACCAACCGCTAATCATATCCATCCAACACTGGTTCTCGTATCTTTACTCTCTTTTCTCACTCCAACTCCCTCTCCTCTCAAGCCTCGCTCACAAGCTCAACCCTCAAATCAAATCAAACAAAACACATCTCAAACTTGCGCTCATTTACCATGTAGCCCACCCAAAAACAAAACAAAACAGTACCTCACACTCACCCCATCTTTTACAGTACACTCGTAGACGTCAAAAACACTCCTACATCACCCGTCTATAGCATAACCCAGATTTGGCTCGAGATACAGTAGAGCGGTCCTCGGGAGGTTAAAATATATAGTCATATGCTTGTCACCGATATTATGCTATTTAAGGAGTGATAAAAGGGTAGTGCTTGGAAGTGGTAGTTGTCATAAGGACCGAATCGCAAGAGCCCTACTTCGTAATCTTACTGTTCCTGGTCACGTACAATGTTCCTGCTCACATACTCCAGTAGCTAAGCAAAAGCTTATCCTCTTCCCTCCGCATCATTCACACTCTATTCTATCAAACCTCCTCTTATTCATCCAATCAGCTGATACCCCTCGTCACATAGCCTAACCAACATCGACAACGACAGCAAAAAATAAATCGACAGCAACTCCCCATCCCCTTCCAACCCTCGCAACAAACTCCAAAACCAAACACCCAAGCCCAACCTTGCAAAAAAGGATACCTCAACTCGTCAAACAGGTCCCAGGCGGTCGTAGACTTAGATAGATCGACAGACAGCGCGAGCTTTTCTTCCGCAGAAGCTTCAAGATCATGCTGATTTTTTGGGAAGGTGGGGTTTGAGGTTGGGCTGGAGATTGTTTGGGCGTTTTGTATGTGGGTTTTGGGTGAGGGTGGTGGTGTTGTGTTGGTGTTGGTGTTGGTGTTGGTGCTGTGGTTGTCTCCACAAAGAATGGAATTGAGGAATTAAGCGATGAGAACGACGTATCCTCGATTATCTGTCTATCTCTGAGTAGTATGACTTCTCCTCATAAGACGCAACAGCGAACGCGTAGAAGCACTAATCTGGGGTAAGATTTCTGCTAAATTCCAAGGTAATAAGTGATGAACATGTTGGGTATGAAAGAATCCCGGGGTAGGAGGACTAAGGGAACAATGAGGAGGTACATCATAAAGTCAGGTATGAGTATGACTCTGAGAAGGAAGACGTTCAGTAAATATTAATTGCTACTACACAAATCACAAGATCAGCTTATCAAAGACTGCTTCACTAATGAAACAATATTCCTAACCTCAATCCCAACCATAAATATAAACTCCCAAACACCCCAAGAATCAACTTCCGCCTCCTCACTCTCCACCTCCCTACTCACTCAACCTAAAGTCATACCTCAACCTCCCATCTAGGAATCAATCTACCCCTCACGCCATCCTCTCAACACAAAACCACGCCCCTATCCCACAAACAAACCAACATAAAACCAATATCCTCCACGAAACAAGCATGACAAGGTACCTCATTAGCCAAATCGTAGGTTCATCCTATAACAAGAACCCGATTACACCCGTTTACAACCTCTACTTCCCATTTTATATACCTAAGCATTCTATAATAGCGTTGAAATGTAGACCTATCATAATATCATCCTTACCTTCCACTCATACAAACTATACAGTACTCTACCTCGCCGCCTCAAGAAGACGACTATATATAAGCCTAAACTCTTCCCCGGATCATAACCATTCTCCTTCTATATATACCATAACCATAGATCCAAGCCCTGACGGAGCGATAACCAGGGGTAACCTCACAAGAAGAGGGATATTATATTAGGAAGGGACGACGTGGTGTTGATAGCATAGTACAGTACTGTACGACTTATTGGACCTGAGTAGGTTGATAATTAGGAGGAGGTTTATATGATATGTGATGAATTATTTTAGGTTGTATGTTTATGTTAGGAGGAATGATGGAGTTTCGAGGATAAGTTGGTAATCGACGGTAAACGTATATCTTTCTTTCTTTCTTTCTTTCTTTCTTTCGTAATAACGGTACGTGTACCCCCGTAAACTGGGTCCTGAGTCCTTTTCGTATCAAACTCATAGTCCCCAAATATATGACCCCCATTTCAATTTCCATCTCCACTCCCAGATTTCCAAACAGATATCCTCCAAGTCTCTTCTGTGCATTCAGTCGTTACATATCAATTTCTGTCTTGCTATTGTTTTATATCATATTTTCGTGCTCTTCCTCGACTAATTGCATCGCTTCGACTTCGACTTCTACACCCTTGGAATAATCTAACATTCAATATGTCTAACAAGACTGAAAGTTATACCTTCGAACTTAAACCGAGTCTTTATTATCTATGGTAGAAATATGGTGCAGAATAATAGACAGTACATTAAACTATGGCAGAAATTCAGATACTATTCATATCTACAATATCATACGAGTAGTTTATTGTATGATGTGATACTGATATCCGTCTCAATTTGTGTTGGTAGATTCTTAGTTTCTTGATTCTTGGTTTTTTGTTCTTGGTTTTTTGTATGATGTTACGATGGAGCTCTGGTTAGAGTTGGATGGAAGGAAGGCGATTGTTATTGCTAGCTATGATGGATGGCTTTGCGACTCGACGAGAGGGTAGATGTTAAAGCGGTTTTGATTAATTGTAGTATGTGATATATAGAGGTACGCGATACGATAGGGTGTCCTAAGCTGGCGGTAGGTAGAAAGTGGTGGTTGATTTTAATTGGGCGAACTACCCGGAAGAATTCCTGGTCATTGACCTAGCTTTCTGGGTTAATTGAAATCATTGTTTCAATGATCTGGGTTATTGGGAATTGGAGGGAGAGAGCGGAGCGAACATGCTACCGGTGCCGATACCGTACCGAAAGCTACGCGATCTTGGCGTCGAAGCCGATAGGTGTCCGAGAAATATGCCGATATCTAGGCCGAAGCATCCACGCATGACGGCACAAGATATTTCTGTCAACTCGACATGGAAAGCAGATGTATGAAAATTTCCATGTGATTGATTGGTGCTCGAGGGGAATTTCATCTGCAAGGCCGGCCAGGTGCCTTGCCAACACTCATATGCGTTGACTCAACGTTTAGGCATACATGAGAGCTATTCCACTGCTACCTACTGCTCCTGCTCCTGCTAGATACCTTGAGGGCTAAGGCACAAAGGTTTAGGCGCACAAGCTCCGGCCATTGTGTGACGTTGGGCTTTGGACTGAGTTTGCGAGCCTCCAGTGGCAACATTTTTTTTAAAACTTTCACCAGAGACAATTGGAGCGGGAAATGAAGTCGAGTGAATGTTGCAGATGAATTGATGCGGAAGCTCACAGAAGGTTCCTCAAGCTTCACGCAAGGATAGTAGTGGGGGGGAGTTGGCAAGGCGCCCGCCTGGGCTGGGCAATCTTCCAGTTTTTGGTGGGTTGGTGGGGCGATGAGGGGTGGTGGGTGGTGGGTGAAAAAAATCAGCGAGAAGAGAGAGGCGGCTGCGTCATAAAGCGTTACCGCTTTGGGTGAAGAGGGGAGCTCCACTGCATCCGAGCAACAGAGCAGCCGATGGAATTATCGCAGAAGAACGCAAAGAAAAGCGATTTAATCGTGAAAAACAGTAGAATTTCTCGTAGAATATATCACAATATCATTCAGGCAATTCCAGGCTATTCCTGACGCTTCGTGAATGGTCCTCGGCGCCTGCGTGCGGCTTCGGCAAGGTTCTGCCGGGCGACAGAAGGTTCCAGCATCTTCGCTTCTTTTTTATTCCAGCTCGTTCCACACATTTCCACTGCACCACACCCGCAGCTATTAAAATCTTCAGCCTGCGTTCCTCTTCTTCCACTTTCAAGACAAAACACAAACACAAACCACCACACTTCTCCATCGATAACTCGCAAGAGACTCTATTCAATCCATTCAAGAAGTTCGACGCATACACCCAATACTATCATCAACACCCTCAACACACATCCACATCGCCCATCATGGCCCCAGCCATTGGTGAGTTCTCCCCGCCTCATCCCCCCACCACCACCACCTTCACCAACGATACTAATACATCCGCCATAGGTATCGATCTCGGAACCACCTACTCCTGTGTGGGTATCTACCGTGATGATCGAATTGAGATTATTGCCAACGACCAGGGAAACCGAACCACCCCTTCCTTCGTCGCCTTCACAGATACGGAACGTCTGATCGGAGATGCCGCAAAGAACCAAGTCGCCATGAACCCAGCCAACACAGTCTTCGACGCAAAGCGTTTGATCGGACGAAAGTTTGCAGACCAGGAAGTCCAGGCTGATATGAAGCACTTTCCTTTCACCGTCCTCGATCGAGGTGGAAAGCCAGTCGTCGAGATTGAGTTCAAGGGCGAGAAGAAGCAATTCACACCAGAGGAAATCTCTTCCATGATCTTGGTCAAGATGAGAGAGACTGCTGAGGCTTACCTTGGTGGAACCGTCAACAACGCCGTCGTCACAGTCCCAGCCTACTTTACCGATTCACAACGTCAAGCTACCAAGGATGCTGGTTTAATCGCTGGTCTCAACGTTCTTCGTATCATCAACGAGCCTACCGCTGCTGCCATTGCTTATGGTCTCGACAAGAAGGTTGAGGGTGAGCGAAATGTTCTCATCTTTGATCTTGGTGGAGGAACTTTCGATGTTTCACTCTTGACCATTGAGGAGGGTATCTTTGAAGTCAAGTCGACCGCTGGTGACACTCACTTGGGTGGTGAGGACTTTGACAACAGACTCGTTAACCACTTTGTTTCTGAATTCAAACGAAAGCATAAAAAGAAAGTTTAAAACGCCCCTTTTGTTCCATGACTATTACTAACTGTTAAATAGGGATCTTTCCTCCAACGCTCGTGCTCTTCGTCGTCTCCGCACCGCATGCGAGCGAGCTAAGCGAACTCTCTCCTCTTCCGCACAAACCTCCATTGAAATCGACTCTCTCTTCGAGGGTATTGACTTCTACACCTCCATCACTCGTGCTAGATTCGAGGAGCTCTGCCAGGACCTCTTCCGATCTACCACTACCCCAGTCGACCGTGTCCTCGCAGATGCCAAGATTGACAAATCCAAGGTTCACGAAATCGTCCTTGTCGGAGGTTCTACCCGTATCCCAAGAATCCAAAAGCTCATCACCGATTACTTCAACGGAAAGGAGCCAAACAAGTCCATCAACCCTGATGAGGCTGTTGCGTACGGTGCTGCTGTCCAGGCTGCCATTCTCTCTGGTGACACTTCTTCCAAGTCCACCAACGAGATTCTCCTCCTCGATGTCGCGCCATTGTCCCTTGGTATTGAGACTGCCGGTGGTCAAATGACCAAGCTCATCCCAAGAAACACCACCATTCCAACCAAGAAGTCCGAGGTCTTTTCTACCTTCTCCGACAACCAACCTGGTGTGCTTATCCAAGTTTTCGAGGGTGAGCGTCAACGCACCAAGGACAACAACCTTTTGGGTAAATTCGAGCTCACTGGTATCCCACCTGCACCACGTGGTGTCCCACAAATCGAGGTCACCTTTGATGTTGACGCCAACGGAATCATGAACGTCTCTGCTCTCGAGAAGGGAACCGGTAAATCCAACAAGATTGTCATCACCAACGACAAGGGACGTTTGTCCAAGGAGGATATCGAGCGTATGTTGGCTGAGGCCGAGAAGTACAAGGCTGAGGATGAGGCCGAGGCTGCTCGTATCAGCGCAAAGAACGGACTCGAGTCATATGCATACTCCCTCAAGAACACTCTCTCCGACTCCAAGGTTGACGAGAAGCTTGATGCTGCTGACAAGGAGAAGCTCAAGGCTGAGATTGACAAGACTGTTGCCTGGTTGGATGAGTCTCAACAAGGTACCAAGGAGGAGTACGAGGAGCACCAAAAGGAACTTGAGGCCGTTGCCAACCCAATCATGATGAAGTTCTACGGTGCAGAAGGTGGAGCTCCAGGAGGTATGCCAGGTGGAGCTGGTGGACCCGGTGGCTTCCCAGGTGCTGGAGGAGCTGGTGCCACTCACGATGATGGTCCAACTGTTGAGGAGGTCGACTAAATGGGATATCACGAATCTCTTTAGTTATGTCTTCTCTTTTCCTGGGGCTTTCTTCTATCTTGCATTTTCGGGCATCATGAATCTGTGTTCTCTTTGGGG